CACATTTTATTGATAAATCTATTACACTCTTTTACATATACAAAATTACTTAAAATAAATAATGTAAATAATTTTATTATTAAAGTTCCATAATATCATTAATATGAATAAAATAATCTAAAAAAAGAATAATCTTACTTTTACGATCAATAAATTATGTACTTTTAATTTTACTTTTATGATTAATAAACTATGTACTTTTAGTATATATTTAATGATTAAAGATTCTTTTTAAGTCTTTTTCTAGAAAATCCTTTTTTAAATTTATCTGATAATATTTTTTTATAATTATCTCTATATGACGAGATTCACTAAATTTTGCAGATGTTGTTCTATATGTTTTAAAATACTAGCTAAACAAAGACTAATATATGCTCTTCTTTATTTAAACGTTTTCATTACTAGTAATATTGATAATAAAGCTTGTATTTTTTCTCCTTCATATTTTCTATATTAATAATATTATCATTGTCTATTGCATTCTCAATTTCACTATTTCAATCTTCCTATTTTTCATTAAAATCATTAATTTCATGTTTCTTAGTATTAAAAAAATAATATATAATTTTTAATCTTCAACTTAGTTACACTTATTACTATTAGCATGACAGTTAATATAATCTTCATTCTACTTTCTTAATAGTTTAATTATTGCATCACATATACAAATAACTTTCTTTGCATATCAAACTTTAGCAACATATAAATGTTTCTTTAAATGTTCTTTTAAATACTACTAACCTACTATAATTTATAAAATAAATTGCTTAACATAATTTTAAAAAAATTATAATATTAAGAATGTATTTAGATATAAGAAAGTATATCAAATAGTAGATTGTAATGTGTAGTAAGAAGAAATATAACCATTATGTAATTAAATAATTACATAAATAACTAATTTAGATTTTCTTTGAATATTATAATATAATCAATATAATCAGAAAAATTTTTTATATATACATTTATTTTGATTATCTAATCTGATTATCTTAACTAATATAAATTTTATGCATCTTCAAACTCTTAGTTTTAATTTAGAAATAAAATACACAAATATAAATTATGAGTATCATAAATAAGTTTAAAATTACTCAAAATCAATTTATAAGTTTCAAAAAAATTTTTATATAATTATTATACAAACCTAAATGTGAGTTATATTATAAATATTTAGATTCTATTACATTTATAATATTATTTTTTATAGTAATATTTAAAGAAATTAAATAATTTTTACCTGATATAATAAATGTGAATTTATGTCAATTAATTCTTAAGGCTAGAAAATTATTAAAGTTATTTAATATATTAGAACTTGAGAAATTAAATAAATCTCTTATAGTGTAGATGTTATTTTAAAACTCAATTACTAACAAATATAAAATATAATAAATTATGTAAATTTAGTAATAAATTCATATAAAAAAACTATAAAAATTTTTTATAATCAGAATTATGTGACTTTAAAAATTAATCTAAATATATATATTCCTTTGTAAGCTTATTAATTATACCTATTCTATTGATTTATTCTCTAATTTTTTAGATGATTTTAAAATAATTGATCTAAATAATTCATCTAAAGCTAAAGTAATATACCATTAAAATTTATTACAAAAAAAATTATCAAATAAAATCTAAATGTTGATTTTAAATAAAATAAAATGTCTTTATTAATATATCATTGAATATAATCTTAATTTTCAATCTTTACTGAAACTAAAATAAAATAGAATAATTAATACTTTTAAATTATTTTAGAAAATAATATGAAATTTATTAAAAAGCAATAAAGAAAAAGAGAGATTTTATAAAATATTATATATTTTTAACTAATTATAATAAATTAATTGATAGAAAGCTAAAGCATTATCATATTTTAAAATATTATTTAAATATAATATAATTCAATAATTTTATAAAAATGAAAACAAATTTATATTTAATTTATATAAGATTTGTTTAGACTTAAATATTATTATAAAGTAGTCTTATGAAATCAATTTATAATATAATATTAGTAAAATTTTTGTCAAAAAATAAAGGTTATATAAATATTATATTTACATTTTTTTTTTCAAATTCTTATATTTTATTACCTAATATTATATTAAGTAAGAGCTTATATAATATCACCTAAAAAAATAGTAACTATATTAATGTTGTAAGATTACATATAACTTTAATACTAATTTCTAATTATTATATTATTATATACATTAATTGTAATTAAGTTTTCATTAAATAATTTATTTATTTCTTTTTCTTTTATTTCTTTTAATATATTATAATATTAAACTATTAAAGTTTAATTTGCAAAAGATATTATATTTTTCAAAAATATGAAGAATTTTTAAATAAAAAGAGTATTATCTTAAAAAAGTGTTTAAAATGTAAAATAGACTTAAATTAACTTATTTAAAAAATAAAAACTTGAATTAAATAAGATAATTAGATATATTAATATTATTGAAACTATATATAACTTTTTAATTTCTTTAAATAATAAAATGAGTTTATGAAGGAGAAAATGAGAAATTGAATATAAATCTTTTTATTAAACTTTTATTTTTTCTTAATTTTATTTTAGAAAAAATGAATTATCAAATAAAAAAAATTATGAAATTGAAAATAATTATATCTATTTTAAAAAATGATAGATTTTCATGGGTTTATTAGAAAAGAAATCAAAAAAATTTTATTACTTCTAATATATTATTATAATTATTAAATTAAACTTAAAAAATAAGAAGTCAACATTTTATAATAGATAAATAGAAGAATATATATACTTTTTTTGAAATGATATTATTATATAAAAATAATAAATATAAAAATTTTTTTGAATCAAATTTAATCATGATGAGTATTTTCATAAAAGTTATATCTACAACTAAGTTATATCTTTATAAATCAAAGATTTATCTAAAAAAATATTAATTACTTTGCTTCTGAAATTTACCATCAGGTTTGTGAATATTAAATTAATAGATATTAAAGGATAACTATTTAGCAAATCTATTATTAATGATTAATTGAATCTTACAAGATATATTGTCAACATCAGATCCTTTATTATCAACAAAAATTTTATTAGAAGAATTAAACTTAAAATTATAGTGAATAATCTTGATTCTTTAATATTTGCTCTTAAATTTCTGACAACATTATTTTATTGATTAGTATATAAGAGAAATTAAATCTATTTTTTTTCTGTAATACTTTATAAATTTGTAATATTTTTCGCTAAATTTGTATATTTAATAATACAATTGTCACTTGTTTATATATTTTTTACTCAGTTAAAAGAATCAGTAACGTGAACTTTGAAGTTAGATTTTATAGCGTTATGCTTTATACAATATGCTTTATGAATTTGTATATGTATTACCTATTGCTATTGCTATTGCTTTATGAATATGAATATGCATATGCATAGGGATGGTGATTCTTTAAATAAAAAATTTTTAATTTGTTTATTTTGTATTTTGTATAAACAATTGAAATATGTAAAATTCAGACTTTATCTAAATCAGAAATATTAAGTTAAAGGTTTTATATATCAATTTTGGATGCATTTTGATTTATTTGATAGATTTTTTTTTAAAAAAAGACAAAAATAAGAAATAGATCATATATTGAATGATCACATTAGGATACATAATTCTTTTATATGAAAAAAAAGTTATTTTTTTTCTTTTTGAATAAATAAATAAGTAAAAAATAAATATAGATCCAAAAAAAAAGAAATTAATTGATACTTTTTTTTCTTTTTTTCCTTTTTTTTTCCTTTAAAAAAAATAAAATAAAGTAAATAAATATAAAATGTAGATATTTTTTAATTAAACTTAAAAAAAAAGAATGAGATTGTAAAGATTTTTTCATATTGATTAGAAAAAAAAATCTCAACAGAAAATAAAATCTATCTATTTTTTCAAGATGTCAGCATAATTATTAACTGTATTATATATATCAGAATACATAGAAAAAACCTCTGGCAAATTTTTCATCAATACTGTAATAAGTTATATAAGGCTTGATGAAGAAGATAAAGTTTAATAATTTAACATCACGATCTTTTATTCTTTTGATGAAGACTCAGTATTATATATTCTAAGATTAGAAGCAAATCAGGTTTTGTCAATCACAAATTCAAAATTTTGCAAAGGATCAGAAAACAGTATTGATGTAAACTATCAATCATTGTTTTTTTCTTACTTTATCCCTTTTTTAATTTTAAGATGAAAAAAAAGAAAAATAAAAATTTGTTATTTAATCTACTATAATTTTTCTTTGTAGATTATATTGATAATGGCAATCATCCTAAATATCAAACCAGAAAATCTTTCTGTTTATCCAGTTTACCTTATGGCACTGCATCTGTTACAAATAATCTCACTATTATGAGTTCTAATACTAGATTCTCGTGCTTAATAAATGATTATTTTTCAAAAAACAGATTTGTTAAAACTCTGATCACATTATTTCACTCTAAATCAAACTAACTCTTATTACAAACTCAACAGTCTGAACCTTCACTAAATTACCAAAATAATCTAGAAACCATATTCAGAGTCTTATAATATCAATTAGAATCTCGTCAGCTTATGAACTCAAACACTTCACTTTTCATCATTATCTTAATCACTCCAAATAACTTACCTTTAGAACTCTAGGTCTCTGACTAAACAATTTTTCAGATTATTGGAAAACTTAAATTTCTTTGTGTTAAACCAGTTCATTTACATATTTTATGCATTTTGCAGTCACTTAATGTATCCTAAAAAATGTGAATGGTTGGCTTATGATTAGACATTGACATACCCAATACTGGAGGTGTACTCTGAATCAGAACCTTTAACATTATTAACATTTTATACAAGACTCCTTAGTACATTGTAGTATATTCGTCTTACAAGAGTCTTAGGAAAAAGTATCCTTTTTTATTTTTACATTCAATTCCAAATGAAATCCAAAATATTCCACTAAAAATAAAAATGTACCTATCACTCATCTTTATGTATTGTTCTTTAGAAAGGAGCTCCAGCAGCAGTGCTGTCTATTCTGAATATGAGACGTTAGTCAGAATGATAGACTTTTCAAAGAACATGTGATCTCTGACATTATACTTTGGGATGCTTGATGCTTATTTAAAAAATGAATCTGAGTCAAATCCTACCAGATCTTAGATTGATGACAAGTTGATCACAGCGGTGGACTGGTTGAAAAGACATAACCCTTTCCTAAGAAGCTATTCCATCTTTTAGACTCAACCGGATCTGCTGGGGCATTGGTTTTTGGATCAACAAATTTTTGACGCAGGTCAGGCGTACGTCATGCTAAGTTATTGTATGGATTGGTCAAAGATGCACATTGCCTCTTTTCACCCTTCTGCATTTATTACTAACATGTCAATGGTTGAAGAATATAGACGTTTGGAAAAAAAGGCCTCTACTCCCTTATTACTCTGAAAAAAAGAAGATCCTTTAGAATTTTAAACCAAATCTTCAAATCCTACAAAAAACATTTGTCTAATTATTTCTAATTTTTATTTAATTTATGAATAATTTAATTTGTAAATAAAAAAAAACAATTTATACTAAATTTCGCATTAACATATTCATAATGTTAAACAAACATTTATTCCATTTTATTGTAATCGATATTTCGATATTTCACATCTCTATTTTTTTATTATTTTATTGCACAGTAAATTTTTTCTATCGTAATACCCAAAAAAAAACGTGATTTCATAAACATACGTCAATCGGCCTATCGATATCTTAGTTTGATCTTTATTGGATGAATCAAATACAAATAAAGAAAAGGGACGAAGTCCCTTGAAATTACGCCTCGCTAGTTAATTTATAACAAATTTGATGCTATTGTAGTTGATGCAACCTATAGAACTAATAATTTTTCGTGGGAATTGCATGCAATCATGTAATTGATGGCATTGGATTTCCTCTCAGCTATCTCTTAATTTCAGCCAGAAAAAATAGAAATATAACTGAAATCCTTACATATTGGATGCAAGCTTCAAAAGAATGAAATTTAAGATGTTTTCCCTTTATTTTAACAGATAAAGACTTTCAGAAATAAATGCAGCAAAAACAGTGTGGCCTGAAGCTCGCTTACAATTATGTATGTGGAATGAACGACGTGCTATTAAACAGCGGTTGGCATCAAATAAGAAAGGTATATATTATTCTTACAATCCCAGAATTTGCACAGAGATGCTCATTGATAGATTCTAATTGAGGAATTCGGCAATATTTTGCCCTTTAAATTTACGAAAATAGTAATTGAACTTGTAGAATTGCATTTTTATCTAAAAATTTCAAATAGCGTTTGAGGCCAAAGAGCTGTTAGAAGAATCACGCAATAGACCAAAAGGACATTTATGGTTGAAAAACGTTTGCCCATATTTTAAATTATTGGAAAAATGAACAATGACATTATGGTGCTAGAAAATAGAAGAACGATGCCAAAAACTTAATAATAATACAATGTATTGGGAATGATAAATTCTATAATTGAAATAAAAAATATTTAGAGCATTTGCATTCTTTTATATTTTTATATTTAAAATTGGATTCATAATTATAATTATTTATAATAAATTCCATTTTCTTTTATTATATGATTTTTATCGAAATACTTTTAAAAAAAAAAAATGCGATTTTGTCCAGCAATCAGCAAATCAATCCGCTACCATTTTTTCCGGGTTGTTCCAAGATAGCTCAACATCATGTGATATCCACAAATCTACTGCATGAATCCGTATTTTTTGCATGTATTAATATAAAAAGATATAAGTATATAAGTTACTATGTTTGTAAAGCCAGATAAGAAAAACCAGTTCCAGAGAAATGCCTTCGAGCATGTTTGGGTTACGATCCCAAAGGTCTTTGATCAAGGGAAGGCAGAACTACTTTGAAAAATGGCATATCTTTAGGGGATGGAATCACGGATGTAAAGTTTGTGAAGAATGCGATCATCACTCACGTATATACTGCAAAAGGTGTAAAAATGTAACAGAGGGAATATATAAACGATGTGAATGTCCTCGAGTCCAATTTGATCGTGAAGATTCTTCACGGTTACACCTACCATATGACAATATGACACGCCTGTGCAAACTAATATTGTAAATTTCTTGAATATGGAATATAATTTCATAGCAGTAAATGTGAATTGATAAAATTACATTGCTTATTTTTTTTTCACATCATTTCTAATCTCCCGAATTTACGCTTTAGATAATTCATGTTGGTGAAATTGATTTAGATTGGCGAAATTCCGTGGATATAGTTTATTTCTTGTTTGTAGAAAAGGATGTGGGAATAGCAATAGTGATAGGAAAGAAACAATTAGTATAGAAATTTACCAAAATTTAAAAGAGCAAAGAAATAATTTGAAGCTACTGATTATTCGACTCGCATACATAATAATATAGAGAAAATGGTATTTGGCATTTTATTTTTTCAAGAGAATGAATGTTCAATGAATAACACAATAACCCTTGGAACTGACATGGGGAGACGTAAGATTACAGTTTAATAAAAGAACCGCTGGTCACGTAGTCCCTTTGTCAAACGTACTGACAAGAGAATTCTATTAACTAGAACTGTGTCTTGGAAGTACGGTCCAGGTTGTCATTAGTAAAAGGATGAACGAGGATAATAATTATTATGTGCTCGCTTGATCTTTTACTAAACACTTTCACATGAGATTCCTTCTCTTTTAGAAAAGTTGGTCACGGTCAAATGATGACAACAACAGGTCTGAAAGTACCATTAAATCTACAAAGAAATTACTTCAAAAGTTTAACCAATTATATGCTTAATATTCAGCCACATCGGTGACGCGTTCAAGATTAGTATGTCGCGTATGACGTAACAATTTTTATTTTGTATCATTGTATCATTGTATGTTCTTATGTTCTTCTTTATATCATATGTCAAATATGGACGATAATTACCGAGAAACGATGGTCAAATCTTTGATAATTACATACTGGAATCGCAAAAATGTTTCGAAAAGCGTCGGCCTATACGATTGTCTCAAGCAAACGCACAATAAATTTAAACTGAAGTTGAAAGACAAACCAGCGTTCAATAGATTCTACAAAGAACGAATTAACTTTATAGCTCAATTGCCTTCTGTCAATGTACATCTAAAAAATAAAGCAAAATCAGAGCAAAATGACTTCAGAGTAGGTGTATAATTTAAAGCCCTCACTTGCAATAAATTTGTCTGTACATAATAATTGCTATAATAAAATAGTACTGAATGTTGGTTATTTTTGCTTAAATTCTTATTTTTAATTATAGTTAAATTCAACTTCTGATAAAGTCAATGACTTTTGGGAAGAGATAGAAAGAATAGACAAGGAGAATAAAGTCCGAAAAGAATATAGATCTTCGATAGATCAACATTTGCGAGAAGAAAAAAAATATTTAAGTACAGTTCACCTCAAGGAACTACAGGAAGATGATGCTATAAATGAAGTTTATGACGCAGAGGAAGAAAACGTTAGTACAGGATATAAAAGTGATGAAGATGATGACCTCGACATGGCAGAAAATATTAACAATTGTTCTGAAACAAATCGAGAAAATAGTGATGATAATAAAGGTTTTGGAGATTCCGTGATACCAGTTTATGCGGACACTTTTGCAGAAAGATTAGAATGCCAACCATCTTTGGGGCGTACTAGACGCTGGATCTTACCCAGCGGAACAGATGTTTCAGAGGTACTGGAGGAATACGTGAAAACGGTTCCAGGATGTCAAAAATGCCTAAAGTAAGTTTCTATCTAGACACATTCACATCATTCATTTGATTTTTCTCAATGTGAATTTCGGAATGTTTGCACTTATAGCCCCGTTTATTGGGGCATTCTAGACCTCACAGGTAATCATCCTGAGACGAAGTCGTTATTTTCGGAAAAAGACTGGTCAGATATGGTTAAAAACTTTGAAGAAGAAGTTAGACTTTCGAAAACAACTGTTTCAGATGCCGTGTATTATTTTTTTGATGAAATTGATGAGGTATTTAAAGATAAATTGTCATTTTGCATAAAATAACTTTATTTTATCATTAAATTACATGTTTACAGATCGTTAAGAAACACGAAGATCCTGTAATGGAAATCGATAAGTTCTTTCCGGAGAAGATCGAAGAGAAGTATAATATTAGATTAAGCATGGAAGAAAAAAGACATATTATTTCCCTGAAGCATGTCGTTATCTCATAGTAAGCCAAAAAAACCAAATGTTTGTATCAGTTTATATTCTTGTATTATTTTTATGTTGACTTTCATAAATACATCTTGATTAGCATTGAAAACCTTGAAAACTTAGAATTACCAATTTCGGAACAAGACTTTGACAGCTCTTTTTCTAACTTGCTTATGAAAAAGTTTCTTGATCAAAAGGAAGTTAAAATTGACGTGTAAGTTCATGAGAGAGAAAATGCTCACATTCAATTTTATTTACATATCTTTGTCCTACATTCTTCAGAGGAGAAATATGTTGCTGGGCATCTGCACAACGCCGAAACAAAGGTCGTTCAGTAGTTCTACGCGCCAGGATAGGCCAAAAATGCGACTTTAAAGCAACATTAAAGCATAGTATTGACAAATTAGAAGCCTTAATTGGCCTTCGGAGTGGAGGGCTTCCAGAGACCTATCGGAAAAAGGTTATTGAAGATAATATTGATCTGGCTGTTACTATGAGAGATATTTTGTACATGTTTTTTATTTCAAACGAAAATACTCCGGACGATAATTTACACCAAACATTTATACTTGGGATCCAATCTTGGGGTAGGCAAAGCAATTCTATAAAATGCAATAACTTCTAAGTTGAACATTCTTTTTTCATTCTTATATAAAGGGTGGACCCACGATATTTATGGTATGGATTGTAAGGCAACGAAAGTTTGCAGATTAGGGAGATTACACAGAACCAAAATGCCAAACACTTCTAGGACAGTCGCTTGTTTAGAAGACTTTTATTTCGCTATGTTGAGTGTGAAGGTAGATTAGCATGTTTATGCACCTTCATTATTACCATTATGCAATTTCTCATTATTTATTAATATGTTGTTTTATTTTCAGAATACCCTTAAAGATATTTGCGAACACGCTAATAATAATGTTGCACTGGCCCAAGCTCGGGCACATCGTAATTTAAAAAGAAAAATCGATGAAGAATCTAAAGTTGGAGGCTGCTTTGGAAGTATTAAATCAACGCCGAAGAAGGTTCAGACTGAAGAGATAATTTAGTTTAAACCTTTAAAAGTATTTTTATTACTTCCTTGTGACAATATCAGAAAATAAATTTTTTAATCACGCACAAAAGTATTATTGTCAGTTGCAAATTAATAAAAACGTATGTAAGAATTATAATCGGGCTTTATTTTTAAATTTGTAGTTGTATGCGGGGTGTGTATGTGTTGGAAAAAAGTGGCTGATGTGAATTGGGCTTCCGTATGAAAGAAAAACGAAAAGAGGGATTATGAGTATTGGGGTTCTGTGTGAAGAAATATCTATTAGACGCACGACATTTTAATTACAATAAATAGATTTACTTTTACTTCGCATAGACCGGAGCGATGATCGTTTGATCGGAACAATTTATTTCACCACGTTCGTGCTACAAAATGGATCACACGCATTTTTGCGACGGGGAGTTTCTCACATACCCCCCCTGCAAAATAAAATTTTGTCCTCATATACAGCAGTTTGACCAATAACGGTTAGGAGGGAAATTCCCGAAACAAAATAGGCTTCTTAATAGTATTGGTAAATCAAAAAAATAACTGGATTTAGATCTTTTTCCCGCGATGTCTATTTTAAATTTGTCTGATAGTAATGTTGACCGTATCATTGCTGGAGTTTTGAGAGCAGAACGAAGTTAAAAATTACTGCGCCACATTACTGCGCAATTAGTGGACACGCGTGTCCAGATTTTTTTCACATTGGGTTTTGCATTTTTTATATGTAGTGTTGTAAAGCATGACGTTTATTGATCAATAAAGGTTTTAACCCGCATCGGGTTTTATCATTTTTTAGCTACAGACCCCGGCGAAAGTAATGGCACTCAGTTTTTTTAATAATATGTGCGCAATTTTATAATAAAATATCAAAAAAAATTTTTATTTTCTGAAAGATAGACCAAAATTACATATGTTTTATTAATTGATTAATATTTTGTATGGCCTCCTTCTGCGTCAATACATGCTTTAATGCGACTTGACATGCTATTAATGCAGTTAACTATTGCGATGTTTTCAATATCATCCCATTCCTTCCTAATTAAATTTAAAAAAAAAATTTCTTTTGAAATTTTTTTCATTTGTGCCACCATTCTCTTTGACCTCTTTCTCCACATTTTTCTTTAAAATAGTCCAAACATTCTCAATAGGATTAACGTCAGAGCTATAGGAAGGCCAAGAAAGAACCCAACCCGGAAGGTGAGTTTCCAAGTCACCTTGAATATCACGGGAAGTATGTTTCGGGTCAGGGTCATTATTATGCTGAAAGACCCATCGGTTACCATATAAATGTTCATTCAAAATTTGGCGGTATATATGATGATCCAAATTTTCAGTGAACATATGCATGCCAATTTTTTTCTTAACGCTGATTGCACCTCAAACATGAACTTTAAATGGTTGTTTTACCATCAGAGCAATATGGTTTTTTGTCACGTGACCATGCAGGAAGAGTATTACAAAACATTTGAAGTGTAGTTTCATCGGAAAATACCACTTTTTTCCAATGATAATTCACGTGATCACAGGCCCAAGAAAACCGGTTCTCTTTTGCTTTCTGTGTCAAAAGAGGAACCTTTCTGGGACAAACAGATACAAATCCAAAATTTTTTAGCTCACGACGAATGGTCCGTTCACTAACTTCAAGCTCTAGTTTTTTTTTCTTTAAGTTGGGCCTTCATTTCACTCCAATTTGGTGGCATTTTTTAGGAGTCAATTTTCGTGGTCGATTAGACTAATAACCTATAGTAATCTTGCCAATTTTCTTTAATGAACTAACATAACGATAATAGGAGCATAAGAGAACACCTGTTCTTTGTGAAATTCTCTTGCATTTCGGATTTTTTGCTGTCAAAGAATGTTAACAGCATTGCGGTTTCTTTCAAAGGTGATTAATGCCATTTTGAATAGAAAAACATGAAGAAATTCATTTTTTTCTACAACTTTTTTTTGTTTGTTTATTAAATGTTATTTATAAAGAACACTCTAAAAATACTGAAAAATTCTGGAGTAGAAAATAAACATGCTACAACTCAAAAAATAAGCAGCACTTGTAGTGCCATTACTTTCGCCGGTGACTGTACATCTGCGAAAATTGATATGCAATACTGGGCCTTCTCAAGTTCACTTAAATTTGAGTTAACCCTTATGTAAGGAAACCAGTGAATAAAATTCAAGTCAAATGCTTGTTGCGAACAATACATACAATTTGCGCATAAATATGCTAATATTTTTATTTTAAAATAAAATTCTAAAATTATAATCACATATCAGTCACTGGTCATTTCCAAAATCAGGGATTTACTAATAAATATGCAGCTTGTCAATCACTTTTTTTTACTATGATTAATTAGTAAAAACTGAAATTTCCAGTTTTTCATCATATGTAATCCTTAATTTTCCACCAATAAATTTTATCAAATTTTTTTTTTTGTCTCTGGGTTAAGACGAACGTTCTGAGACAAATTTTTTCTGCTGTTTATTAATGAGAAGTTAGAAGGATCTCTCTGTAAAGTCACTTTTTTTGTTAATCTTTCAAGTAAATGGAAACTATACAAACTGCACAAACAAGTTTGATCTTAAAAAATATATTTTTATTCAAGATTTTTAGTTTTTAAATAAAATAAAATGTAAAATTATGTAAAAAAAAGATTACAATGTTTTGGTAAACTATCTTAATATTTCTTTAAATTTAATGTTTATAATAAAGAAAAATCACCTTTTTGGCACTTTTTTAATAATGTACATATAAACTTCAAAACAAATTTAATAATAATATATCTACAGTCAGACCTCTCTAAATGCATCCTCTATAAATGTACACCCCCTTTAAATGCACATAATGTTCTGGTCCCAAGCTTGAGACTTAGAGACTAAATGCACCCTCCAAGTTCTGCACATGCAAGAAATTTTTCTGTCCTTTGATATGACAATTCGATCTCTAAATGCACGTCACGTGACTATTTTATAAAATAATAGGACTGTTAAAAATTTAATGTTTTTTTTTATTCATTAATTTAGTACACATGCAGCTTTTTTTTCGGTCTTGACTCTTTAGCATCATTATAATCTTGCATGACTTGATAATCCTAGATTTCTTCAACCATTGGATCGTTCGGGGGTGAGTCATGTGAAAAAAAAAATTTTTAATATTTATTTTTTAAATCAATCAATGTAACTAACAACTAAAATCACTT